TTTATTTTTCTTTAAAAAATTTTAATATTAATTAATTATTTAGTAAAAAATCTTTTAAATTAATATTAACACTAATAATCTAATAAATAATAATCATTTTATAGTATTTAATTTCATTTTATACTTAAAAGTTAAAATTAAAAGTATAATTAATTAAAATTTTAAATTTTAAAAAATAATTAACTTTAGTAGTATCATTTTAAATTAACCCAACTCAATTCTAACTCAACTTAGTCAAGTTCAAATAATTTTGGTCTAAATTATATCTAATTATAAATTGATATTTTAGAGATTTAAACTCATGACCTTACTCATTAGGAATAGATTAGATTAAAATTTTAAATTGGATCCAATTTTACCAAATTTAATAAAAAGAGAGAATTATGTCCCTGACATGATGGCAATCATGATGGCAAGGAATTGTTATGTTGGTGCTAACATGGCAATAAATAATGAAATTTAATGGGCACGTGATGGTACCATTTGTTTTAAGGTTTTTTTGTTGAAATTGAAAAGATGTGAAGTTAAAACTTTCATATTATAAGTTGAGCGGCTGGGTGAAGGGCTGGCCAAGGATTTTCGCCCAAATCTGCCTATAAAATTGAGCATGTATGGAAGACTGTCGTATCATATATACCAATTTTCCAAGAGGACAAAGACTGCTACGGAGTATATATTGACACAACTTGTCATAGAGTGGAAAGCTCTTTTCACAATGAGAACTGCTAGCAATGGGAACAGGTGCCGTTCTCTATTTCCTTTTGACTCGTAACTCTAATTTTTGAGTGATTACCGGAAATTTGCAATAGCCAAATATTTTGTATGTTTGTATTGTAAAATTTATTAAATTTATTTCGTACTTTAAGTTAACGAGTATCTTCTAGTCCCTACTCCTCCTGTGTTCTTCTCTTTATCATTATCAAAGACCTAAAGAAGATTTCCATGTTCCCTCCGACTCGTTTTTGGAATTACCTCCGTACACCAATATTTTATCAACAAATTGTTTATTTCATCAAATGTATAATTTAAATGACTTCGAATGCTTTCATAAGAGCAAGGCATAAGCTTTTTATTCAGCCAAAAATCGTAAAAATAATAATAAAAAAACTGCAACTATATGTGTCAATACCTCGACCACATAAATCTGCCTCAATTTTTTTTTATCAAAACTATCATAAAATAGAAAGGGGGTAAACTACCTGTGCGTGACGCCGGGGCATCCTAACTAGTTGCCTTTATGGACTTTGAAAAATTTTCCAGCAACGGCTAGGAGCGGTCAAAAAAAGGTATATTGAAAAAGACCAACGTCAAACTTTCAATTTCATGGTAGCTCCACTTTCACGTACTCCAACCATTTATCACTCGCGCCTGCGCCTCTGAATCTCATCCATCAAAAAATGGAAATTCCTCTCCGGCAATGCCTGATCCTCATGGCTTTCTCTTTGTGCTTACACTTAAACGTAAGCTCCGTGAGGAGTCTATGTCTTGAGGATCAGCATTTGTCACTGTTAAAACTTAAGAAAACACTCATTTTCGACCCTGCTCTTTCACTCAAGCTCATTTCCTGGAATTCATCA